TCTGACTCTTGGACTTGTGATGTGAATCCTCCGGCCGTTAACTCCAAATAAACCATCATGTGTTTGACATCAAAGCTACTGCTCTTCCCGTGTCTCCTTCCTGAGTCGGTGACTCCCACTGCATAGCTACACAGAAGTTTCCTCTACACACCGTAGTTGTGTATAATATAATAAACCTTAGAACATCTTGAAATCTTGAAAGGGATGTGCAAAATAGTAATTATATACAGTCTTTAATTAACTATTAGTAGATAATAACGAGTAATGAATATACTTTATAGGGATCCTATTAATATCTAATAATACAAATAATAAAATGCAATAACGTGCTTTAACCACCAGGTGTCCCTTTAAATCAGCTGTGCACCGTTTTGGTGTAAATACAGCCTATCTACCAATTGGATCAAATATAAAAGTCAGCCGAATTAGTGTTGATACTGCAAGGAGACGTATAGTGTGAAAATAAATGTAAGATGTTGTTTAATTGATGATATATTTATGATCCACGTCACGTATTCAGTTTTGGCGGCATTTCTTACAGTTAGTCAAAAGGTCTTCTGATCAGGGCTCTATAAATAAATATCTACGGCAGATATATAATATTTAATGCAGCCGAACCGTGTATTACAATGCCGTTATGTGATGACTTTCAAAGAGAAAAGCAAGAACACTCGGAATAAAGTATTATTTTATTTTTTTAAACGTTTTCGGATTTCACATCACATAAACACCATCCAATCACCGAGCTGAGGATCTTGCCTACGTCTGTTTCCGGTATTTGTTTATGACGATGAGATGTGAGACTGGGTTGGAGAATTGCACAGGGGAAAATAACGTATCTATGCCACAATTTTAGATGCGGATTTTGTTAAACTAATACGTTTGCGCTGTGGACCAACACTATACATTGACGGGGAAGGGGGTAGCAATAAAGATAACACCATTAAACAGTTACACAACATAACAGAAATCATATCGATAGCAGCGTCCCTAGCAACCACCTTGGTAACAATGAAAACGTTGTATGGACACAATTTCCTGAAGTAATCTTCGTAATAACTAGCAAACTAAAAACAATGTACATCCACTGCACACATAATCTGAAATAACAACTCATATTTCTCGCATCAAATGACATCAAAACGCATTTTAATGGCCAAACTAACTTTAAAATAGGCATTTTACACCGAGAATAAAACGAAGTTCGGCCATGTTTTTTTTTTCTGCAGGGAGAAATGTGAAGATCACGTGACATAGATGCCAGCCATTGGAAATGAATGGTGAAAAAAACGTAGGGATCCTACAATTTCAGAGGCGTTTTGTAGAAATACTACGTCCCAAGTTGTGGACCAATGTAGTTATTACACGTTTAGATGTGAGACTGGGTTGGAACACCGGGGCTTTGGGAACACTCAAAATTACTTAAAATTATTTAATTCCCATTTAACCTGTTAAGGGGCTTTTCGCCCCTGTTTTTTTTCTCACGAAACTGTGTCTCTGGGCTTCTTAAAATGTAATAAACTATTCATGTGTCCCACTCATTTAACAGGAAGAAACTCAGCTAACTGATGATATGAACCATGTTTACCGAAACAAAACACAAGTCTCACAAGAAGCATCAAAATGAGCCCTGAGCGAAAAAAATGTAACGCACTCTAGGTATAAATCAATCGATATACTTATCGGATATGCACAAACAAGCTTAGCTAACAAGCTGAGACTCAGGGACGTGCACAGGTACGGGCTAATGTTGCCCGGGCAACGGCCCGTTTGACCTTTTTGGCTGACCTGCCCCTCTGGAGAGAGCGAGAGTTTGTTTTTCTTTTTTCTGTTGTGGCCGAATCAACATGATAAACCCACAATTAGTATTGTAGCGTCTCGCTGCGGGAAACACACTTTGTCAGCGCTGTCATCTGCCGGTGCGTTAAGACCACCTCAGTGTCGGATTTTGGAAACTTGATTTTGAGTTGTCTCATGGCAGTTAGGGTATAATGGACAAACCAGGGGACTTATTCTTGATACCGTCGGTTATTTACAACCTTTATTATTATTTACAACACCTAAATATACTTGTTATTGTGCTTCTGTCTTTCTGTGTCTTTTCAGCTGTAAACTCCCTCAATGGGCCACTCGCTCTCTTTTCTTGATCGCCCTCTCACATACGGGAGAACAGTTCACTGCCCGCTTCATTGTAGGATTTCTGCCATGTCTCTACTTTAGTTCGACCATCTCTGTTATTAAGTTATGGAATACTAAATAAATAAGTAATTAGATACCTTACCGTTACTGCGCTCATAAAGAATGATAAGAATAATGCGTATTGAACTGGTTTCATTCATTAGTGAGTTTATTTAAGGTAATTATAGAAGCCCTATTTTGCACAGCAGTTACAATGGTCAAACTACATTAGAACAGAATTGTCCCCATTTTGTCTTTAATAGTTACTAACATTAGATATTTTAATGAGATAGGGACCGCAAAACAAAAAATGTCCCTGGTTTTCATTTTTAAAATCAAGTCACCGAATGCAAGTAGTCACCTAGCTTATTTTGTTATGAGATGTGAATTACTGTTCAATTTATGTATGTAATGTAATAATCGTTTGGTTTCTTTTACATTAAAAACAAGTTACAATTTTCAAAAGGTCTTTTTATCCTTTTTTATCGGGGGGAGGCCCTTTTTCCAGTTTAGAGCAATAGTCCCTCCAAATGTCTCGTCTGGGCGCTGTGAATAACGCCCAGACGAGAGAGGGTAATGATACACGGGCAAGGCCAGGCAGGAAACATGTGACTTATCAGTAACGTTAGACATCGTAACACAATTTTAAACGAGATTTTATTGTAGATTATACATTTTACTGATACCAATTATATAATATTTACCTTGTTTATTAAAATGTTTTAAATATATATATATATATATACTTTTTTTTAATGTGGGAAGAGGGGGGGCGGCGCCCCTGGCGCCCCTATGGGCCGGCCGCCACTGTCTGGTCGACAGGTCCGTGGTAAACACAAACAGCTACCAACTCTGCATCATGTCCTCCTGACCCTCAAGCACTTGATGTAAAAATCCATTAGCTAATTTAGACCCGAATAATTAACAAAACAAGGTAAAAGAGTAATCTTTGTAATGCAAAAGATGCTGACAAAGTCTATGTAACATCGGTAAACATATATTTAAATTATTATATGACAAATATGTAAAATTAGACAATACATTGTAAAGCACAAGTATACAGACAGGATGTCACAATTAAATAAAAACATATATTAAATAAAAAATTAACTGAAAGATAAGTGACGAATGAATGCAAAATCCAGGATTTGACACCCCAACCATCAAAATACGGAGCGAAACGTTTAACCACAAGAGTCAAGACGTGAGCTACCACTAAACGACTCACATATAAGTCTGAAAATTACCATTAAAAAAACGCTAAAATAAAATAAAACGAGAGGGACAACAGAATAGCGGACTATACGTTTTATTTTCAAATGCGCGTTCCCGTGACAAGGGGTTCATTTCACGGCGGGGGTGCATCATTTGGCACAACACCTGTATGACGCTGAAGTACTCCATCACGCAGCTGCTCGAGTTAAGACATTACAGCACTCCAACCTGTATCTCAGCACAGTCAACACATGATCATTTTAATTTTTCCACCACAATATTCACATTTGTATTCCTTCATGCTCTTGCAATCTAATTTTTGTGATCAAATGCATCAAGTGTCTTGTTTAGTATTTCTTGTCCTTCTCTTTGTCTTTGCCCTGTAGTTTTTGCACAATACGTTTTCTAATAAATATTCCATTCGGGGCTTTTTCCCTTTTCTTCATCAAGACTTGTGTGTTTCTGTCATTTCCATGAAACAAAACCAGAGTGCAGGTGTGTAAAAATGTTTATTCCATTGCTCACACGTCACTGTCAGGACCTTTGAGAGAAAAACACAAGTTAGTGTCGTGATAAACGAGTCCACATATATTCGTTGGTTATCACATATTAGATTTTTCTATAGTCTTGAATTGTGCTTTAGAAAGGCATGTTTGTAAAGCCCTTTGGAATGATGCAATACTAAGTGAAACATAATTACTTAATTGGGTAATGGGAATGCAAGCAGACAAGTGACAAGTGACATCACTATTTAACACTCAAGCTAAATATACTTCATTCAACTTTAGTTTTGTTCCGTTTCATATATTCTCTGTCTCTCTAATGCAGGGTAATGTGTGTTTTTCAAGACACATGGTAGAGGAAATGCTACAAACAGAGGTTGTGTTGTTGCACATTCGTTTACATTTACAGGAACAGAATTGGGTGTGGTTCATTATAATTGTATGAGCCAAAGGCAAATATACTATTTGTTTAATTGTTTATTTGTGTGTGTGTGTGTGTGTGTGTGTGTGTGTGTGTGTGTGTGTGTGTGTGTGAAATGAAAACGAAAGGGGGAGGAATAGATGTCACTCCCTGTCCTTTGTTTCCAATGTTGTTATGTATGATTATATATATTTCACATTTACACCAATTAAAAAATATCCACTACTAGTTTTTCATTTATTATTCTGCATTATAAATGATTGCAGTTGAAATGCAATGGGTGTTTGAATCCCTGTGATATTTGTGGAAATAAAATAAAAATAAATAACAATAAAATAAAAAGTAAATGCAGAAAAGTGCTAGGACTTTTTTTAAACATGTAAATCAAATATTTCTATAATACAGAACAATCAAATTGTATTCTTATTTATTTATAGTAGGAAAAAACTCACAAAATGCACAAAATCAACATTCACTTTCATTCAGTGAGATCTCATTTCCTTAACTTTCACTATAACCACCCTGTTCATGTAGACTTTTTACGCCTACGCCTGCTTATAGGTTGTCTCTCATGTCCGTCACTCCTTTCAGCCAATCAAATGAGAAGGGGCGGGACATGACGCACGTTGGGGTATTAAATAAAGGCACGCTGCGTTGACTGTGTTAATCCTGTTGTGTTTTCTGTCTGATAGCAGCAAGGATTAAAGTCGTCAAAAGATATCCAGGTATTTATAACATTTTAAAGCTTATGTTGTTTTTTTGGCTGCATTACTGATATATTTACAGGAAGAAGCAATATTAAAACTGGTGTAATATGGCATTTACACGTAAAATATAACACAAAGTGGTTGTTATTTATATGTGTGTATTTGTTTAATAGGTAGAAGCTTGCATTGGAAAAGGTATGCATAAGTCAGGAAATAATTTGTTTTTTTCTTGTATTTACAGTAAAATAAGCATCATGGCTCTGGATGATTGTGGCCGTCTCTGCAAATATACGCTGTTTATTTTCAACCTCATCTTTGCAGTAAGTGTGTTAAAAATGATGATCCTTCCTATTTTAATTCTTCACTTTTTTTTTTACTTTATTGTGTTCTGAAGTTTTAACGCTGTGCAAACCTAATGGTTGTAGGTTTTTCTGAATGTGTTAGGAAGGTAACATCACTTGGAGTTAATCTCAATTGAATATTTCACCTCCTCCTTTCCCTCACTCGCGTCGCGTCCCTTCTTTCCGTCTTAGCTCCACCAGACGCGAGCGAGAGACACGAGGAAGAGACGCAAGGACAGAGGAGTCCTCAGGTATTAATTGGGATGTCCTTGTTCACTCCAGCGTCACCATGAACAACGCCCTTTACTTCTGGTGCGCGCAGTTTTATCACCTGTCACTATACTTCCCTCCACATAAATCCCTTCAAACCTGGGAATTAGTTTCTCATTGAAATGATTTCGTCCATCTCTTTTATTATAGTTTTCTATGTATTGTTTTCGGTCCTGTATTTGTTTTTCCAGGTATAACATTTCATTTAAGTTATAATTATAATCATAACAATAATAATAATAATTGATGGATTCATTTCATTATGGTAGGCTATTTGAGCTTGTTTCAGATCAACTTTTGTATTGGATGTTGTTATTTGATTTGTCCTACAGAAGAGAGACACAAATCACTAAAATATGTATTAGTTATGCTACCCGTATTTGTATATATCCTAAATGTTTGACTTTCTGTGGGTGTTTGTAAAAACCACAAGTAAGAACTGTAAGTTATTATTTTATAATCAAACATTGTTATTGAATTTGTAAGTATATTTCACACACTTTAATGTTTTTATAGAGTATGATATGATCTCTAATATATGTTACTCTTAATGAAGCACTGTAGGAGTCGAGGAGGGACATTGAGATGAACCTTTGGACTCAAATGCACGACTCAAAAGAAAGTTCGCTGTTCGAAAGGTCTTTACTTAAAGGTCACCTATCATGCTATTTTTAGGCAATAGCATAGGTCTCAGATAATATATAAAAATATATAAAAAACATGTCTATGAAGTGGTTTGCTCAAAATGCCAAACAGATCATCCATTATAGCCATGCCTCATATCCCTCTATTTCACTTCCTGTTTCAAAAGTGCTGGTTCTGGGTATAAAGCTTTAAAAAACAATGTATATCATCGCCATATCATGTTCCAAACCACTTCAAGGATTATTTCTGAAACAGTATGAAGCTCAAATACTTTTTCTCTCTCAGGTTTACCACAAGGCAAGGCAAGGCAAGGCAAGTTTATTTATATAGCACTTTTCAACACAAGGCAATTCAAAGTGCTTTACAAAAAATGAAAGACATTAAGAAAATGGCATTTAAAATCAGTCATTAAAAGAAAAGCTAATAAAATAAACATTAAAAGAAAAAATACATGGATAAAAGTTACAGTGATAAAAGTTACAGTGCAGTCTAAGATATGAATAGTTCAATTAAAAGCAGCGACAAAAAGAAAAGTCTTCAGCCTGGATTTAAAAATAGTCAGAGTTGCAGTGGACCTGCAGGTTTCTGGGAGTTTGTTCCAGATATTTGGAGCATAATAACTGAACGCTGCTTTACCATGTTTAGTTCTGACTCTGGGGACAGAAAGCTGACCAGTCCCTGAAGACCTGAGAGATCTGGATGGTTCATAATTTAGCAGGAGGTCAGAAATGTATTTTGGGCCTAAACCATTCAGTGCTTTATAAACCAGCAGCAGTATTTTGAAATCTATTCTTTGACACACAGGAAGCCAGTGTAAAGACTTCAGAACAGGAGTGATGTGATCCACTTTCTTAGTGTTAGTGAGGACTCGAGCAGCGGCGTTCTGAATCAGCTGCAGCTTTCTAATAGCTTTTTTAGTGAGACCTGTGAAGACACCATTGTCGAGTCTACTAAAGATAAAAGCATGGACAAGTTTTTCCAAATCCTGCTGTGACATTAGTCTTTTAATCCTAGATATGTTCTTTAGGTGATAGTAGGCTGATTTAGTAACTGTTTTAATGTGACTGTTGAAACTCAGGTCAGAGTCCATGACTACACCTAGATTTCTGGCTTTATCTGTTGTTTTGAACATTGCAGACTGAAGCTCAGCGCTAACTTTTATACGTTCTGCCTTCGCTCCAAAAACCATTACCTCAGTTTTATCTTTGTTTAATTGGAGAAAGTCATTGATTTGTTCAATGCACTTACTCAGTGTTTGAATTGGAGCATAGTCTCCTGGTGAAATTGTTACGTAAATGTGTGTGTCATCTGCATAGCTATGGTAACTTATTTTGTTGTTTTTCATTATCTGAGCCAGTGGTAGCATGTAGATGTTAAAAAGAAGAGGCCCCAAGATGGAGCCTTGAGGAACCCCACATGTCATATTTGTCAACTCAGATGTGTATTTACTAGGGCTGTCAAGTTATCGCGTTAATAACGCGTTAACACAAAAAAAATTAACGCCACTAATTATTTTAACGCGATTAACGCATGTGTATTTTTTGTCCTCGGCCGCCCCATAGTTTCAAAGCGCATCGAGTTTAAATACCATCTACAAGCTGATGCTGACAGCCCCGCTCCTGCCGTCCGCTTGCGGCAGACCACACTTCCACGCTCACCAGCAGGCACCGACTGGCCATCGGGAGGACCGGGAGGGTGTGTGTATGTGTGGCGCGTGCGAGCGAGAGAGAGACCTTACGTGTATTGTTGTTGTTAGCATCTGGTGCTAGCTAGTTGCGCTAACGGATATAAGGAGCTGTTTCAATGAAAACAGAGGAGCGACATTTCGCCGACAACTGCGCCGAGCACTTGACTTTATGCAGGAAGCCAGACAGTGGGACATTGTACGAAAAGTCAGCACACTCAGCACGGATAATGTGCGCAACATGATTGCAGCGTCCAGGCAGCTCCCGTTCGAGCATATGCCTCCATCACACGCACGCACACATGCACGCGCACTCACTCACACACACACACACACACACACACACCACACACCCACACACACACACACACCACACACCACACACACCACACACACACTTTGTATTGTATGAGAGGTTTCCAGGTTGAATTGAGGCGAATATTTGTAATGTTCAGAGGTTGTTGTGTTTAATATTCATGAGAATATTTGTCATTGTTCAAATGATAATAAACATTAGCATAAAGCATATTTGTCCACTCATATGTTGATAAGAGTGTTAAAAACTTGAAAAATATTCCTCTAAGGTGCATTTAGAACAGATAAAAAATGTGCGATTAATTTGCGATTAATTTGCGATTAATCGCGATTAACTATTTTAATCGACTGACAGCCCTAGTATTTACCTATAGAAACAAAGTTGTTTCTGTCCTTTAAATAGGATTCAAACCAATTCAGAACTGTTTCCGAAAGTCCCACCCAGTTTTCCAGTCGGTCTAGTAATATGCTGTGGTCAACAGTGTCAAACGCAGCACTGAGATCTAATAATACTAACACTGAAGTTCTGCCACTGTCTGTGTTTAAGTGGATGTCATTAAAGACCTTACAAGAGCAGTCTCAGTGCTGTGGTTTGGACGAAAGCCTGACTGGAACACATCGAAACAGTTATTTAAATGCAAGAAATTACTCAACTGTTGAAAAACAACTTTTTCAATGATTTAACCTAGAAATGGGAGGTTTGATATGGGCCTGTAATTGTTCATTACTGAAGCATCTAGATTATTCTTTTTTAAGAGCGGTTTAATGACTGCAGTTTTCAGGGCCTGTTGAAAAATACCTGAGTGAAGAGATTTGTTTACTATATGAAGTAGATCTGAGGCCATGCAAGGCAAAACATCCTTGAAAAATCCTGTTGGAATAACATCAAGGCAGCAGGAGGAGGATTTCAGAAGTTGTATAATGTCCTCTAGGTTTTTATCATTAATCTGATGGAATTGTGTCATGGTGTTTGAATTGATATTAGGTGGACACAGAGACAACACATTTGCTGTTCCTGATGCAGAGGCACTGACTGCTTGTCTGATTTTCTGAATGTTGTCAGTGAAAAAGGAGGCAAAATCATTGCACGCCCTGGTGGATAGAAATTCAGAGGCTACTGACACTTGGGGGTAGTCAGTCTATCGACGGTAGCAAACAAGGCACGTGCGTTGTTTTTGTTTTTGGTAATGATGTCAGAGAAGAACGATTGTCGTGCGTTTTTCAATTCCAAATTATAAAGGCCAAGTCTCTCTTTATAGATTTCAAAGTGAACCTGGAGATTTGTTTTTCGCCACCTGCGTTCAGCTTTTCGACATTCTCTTTTTTCTGTTTTCACGCTCATGGCCTTTCTCCATGGAGATATTTTCTTCCCAGTCACTTCCTTTACCTTAGTTGGAGCAATGGCATCTATAACATTTTTAATTTTTGAATTAAAATGATCTACTAGCTCATTTACTGAGATGTTAGCAGGGGCAAGTGTGGAAGAAAAATTCTGAGTAAACATTTCTCTAGTATTTTCAGTTAAATATCGCTTTGTGGTTATCTCTTTTTGAACATTTTGTGAACAGAAATAGAGCTCTCAAAGAAAAACACAGGAATGGTCAGAGAGGGCAACATCAGTCACCACAACCTTAGAAATATTCAGACCCTTTGAGATAATTAAGTCCAGAGTGTGCCCCTTATTGTGCGTGGGCTCCGTCACATGCTGAGTCAGTCCATAGCTATCAAGAACACAAAACAGTTATTTTGCCCCTCTGTCCTGGGGGTTTGTCAACATGGATGTAAAATCACCACAATGACTAGACGGTCAAGTCAATACACACTATAGACAGCAGTTCAGTAAAGTCATCAAAAAAGCTTGCACAGTATTTGGGTGGTCTATAGATATTTAGGAACAGAGCTCGAGAGGAGCACTTTCAGCTGAAGGGCCACATATTCAAAAGAATCCAAAGTTTCCATACGATGTCTTCCTGCATTGAAGGGAATCATTGAACCAGAATAGCAACTCCACCCCCTTTCTTATGCATTCTTTCCTGACTCATAAAAACTAAAGTTGGGGGTTGAT